TGTGATAGAGTAAGTATATGCATGGGTGTGGGCATGTGTACACGTGGTGTACCTCTGGGAGCCCAAATAAAGCGTGTGAGGCTTCACAAGCCTGTGGTCAGGTGGAGTTTTAAAGGTATGGGAATTTTTCCACAAAATTTTTGGAGCCCCCTGTATGTACACATTTGTGTGTAAGAGAATGGGATTACGCGTGTGCGCCTCTGTGTGTGACCTTCTCCTTGTGTTACTAGAGGCTCCACAGTGCACCCAGTGTGGCTTTGTGTGCACGAAGGAAGGTTTGGTCTGGCTAAGGGCCACCCTCTCCTCTCCCCTGCCAGCGCTTGCTGGTCTCGGTACACCCCGACCCGCCCCCCACCAGGCTCTGTCCCCACTCCCATGTCCACAGTGCATGCCACCTCAAAGCCTGGGGTCCTTCCCTGCTCCCCACCCTGCCCCACGGCCCTGTGTCCCTGCAAGGCTGACGTTTCCTGCCAATAGCTGGACGTCGTCCTGGAGACCAACCTGGCCACCGTCCGCGTGCTGGAGAGCGTGCAGAAGAAGCTGTCGCGCATGGCCCCCGAGGACCAAGACAAGTTCCGCCTGGATGACTGCCTGGGGGGCGCCTCCGAGGTCATCCAGCGGCGTGCTATCTACCGCATCTACGGTGACAAGGCCCCTGAGATCATCGAGAGCCTCAAGAAGAACCCCGCCACTGCAGTGCCCGTCGTCCTCAAGAGGTGGCCTGCCCATGGGCCTCGTCCACTTGGGGGATGGGGGACAGGGGGGGATGGGATGGGATGTGCCCATCTAGAACCTTCCTCGTGTATGATTACACACATACACAGGCAGATCACTCCTCTCCAGCACAGAGCAGCCCCCCCCCCACCTTGCGATTGTGATAATGGTTCTGTGTGAACTTCATGGGCTCACTGGGTACTGTCCTGCCCTGTGGGTTCTGAAGAATGCCTCATCTCAGTCTCCTGGCCACGTCGCTGTCCTGAAAGTGCCCTTGTCTGCACGGAACATTCATCCCTCTAGGCCGTTTCCAGCACAGGCTGTAGGGGAGGCTCTTGGGCCTCTCTCAGGGCAGCACGGGTCATGGTTCCCTTCCCCGGCGGGCCAGCCTGTCTCTACCTCGCCGCTTCCCTCTGCTCCATCCGAGCTTGCTTTCACAGAGGGTCCACCTGGGCCCTTTCCCTGCTGTGTGCAGGGCTCAGCTAAGGGCCCATCAAGGTCCACAGGGTGGTCGGCCCAGGACTGGAATAGGAGGGGCTCAGGAGGCTGCATGGCCGCCCACTGTGGCCCTATGGGGTGGGTACTGTCAGGGCTTCCCATGCCCGGGGGTGGCCCTGCTGAGCCCAGCTCTCGGCCCACAGGCTGAAAGCCAAGGAGGAGGAGTGGCGGGAGGCACAGCGCGGCTTCAACAAGGTGTGGCGAGAGCAGTACGAGAAGGCCTACCTCAAGTCCCTCGACCACCAGGCCGTGAACTTCAAGCAGAACGACACCAAAGCCCTGCGCTCCAAGAGCCTGCTCAATGAGATCGAGAGCGTCTACGACGAGGTGGGCCGCGCAGGCACCCTGTCTCCGTCCACCTGTTCCCCTGCGGCACGGCACGCACTCACGCTGTCCCTCAGTGTCTGTCTGTCAGGTTCTCCATGTGACTGTCTCCTCTCTCTGTCCCTGTCCCCTGCCCCCCTTCCATCTCTCCCCGCGGCTGCAGTAGAGACTGAGTGGGTGGCCGTTGTGGGCGCTGTGCTCTGGTCCTGCCGGTCACTGGCTGCTGGCCTGCCTCATGCCGCCCTCCTTACCCCACTCCCCAGCACCAGGAGCAGCACTCAGAGGGCCGGAGCGCCCCCGCCAGCGAGCCCCACCTCATCTTCGTGTATGAGGACCGGCAGATCCTGGAGGACGCCGCGGCCCTGGTCAGCTACTATGTGGCGCGGCAGCCGGCCATCCAGAAAGAGGACCAGGCCACCATCCAGCAGCTGCTGCACCAGTTCGTGCCTGGCCTCTTCTTCTCGCAGCCGCTGGAGCCCGGCGCCTCCGAGGAGTCGGCTGACGAGGACCCAGAGGCTGCCCGGGGCCCAGGGGCTGAGCCCGGTGAGCGGAAGCGGCCTGGGGCGCCCGGCGGCCCCCCCGAGGAGAAGGGCCCCCCTGGGGACGGCCCAGCGGCAGGACCGCAGCCGACAGCCCTGGACGATGTGTACAGCCTCTTCTTTGCCAACAACAACTGGTACTTCTTCCTGCGCCTGCACCAGACGCTGTGTGCCCGGCTGCTCCGGCTCTACCGCCAGGCGCAGAAGCAGCTGCTGGAGTACCGGGCCGAGCAGGAGCGCGAGCAGCTGCTGTGCGAGGGCCGGCGCGAGCGGGGCAGCGACCCTGCCATGGAGCTGCGGCTGAAGCAGCCTAGTGAGCAGGGCCTGGGCTGGGCAGGCCGGGGCGCCCCGGGGAGGCCCTAACCATTGGGTAGCTTACTTCAGAAATGGTTTCTTGACCTTGAGCTCAAGTCATGGGGCGTCTGGGGGACACACATATCCGCGGGGTGGGGACAGGCCGGCTGCCCTAGGTGGGCACTGTGTCCCAGGTGTTGGCCAGGCCACTCTTTCCACGGGCCGGCTGCCCTGGCTGGGGCACATAGGTCCCAGTCATTGATTACATCACCACCACCTTGGGCAACAGCTGAATGGCCCGGCTAGGGGGTGCGGGGAAGCGAGGGTGAGCGCGGGCCCCAGCTGATGATGGCCTCCCCAGGTGAGGTGGAGCTGGAAGAGTACTACCCGGCCTTCCTGGACATGGTGCGGAGCCTGCTGGAGGGCAACATGGACCCCACGCAATATGAGGACACGCTGCGCGAGATGTTCACCATCCACGCCTACATCGGTTTCACCATGGACAAGCTGGTGCAGAATATCGCGCGCCAGGTGCGGGCCCGGCTGGTGGCCACACGCCCCTTCCCCAACCTCACATGAACCACAGGACCACTGCCGTGGGTGCCACCACTGCCTCTGTCCAGGTCCAGAACTTTCTTAGAAGCCTTCAGCATGAGACCCAGTTGTTAGCTTTCACTCCCCTCCTCCCACCCCCCAAGCAGCTCTGACTCCCCTTCTCTCTGCGTTTGTCTGTTCTGGACGTGCCATGCCGCTCTCGCTCCGTGTGGGGGTTCAAGGTTCTTCCACCTTGAAGCTCGGCTCCAACACCGTGGCTTTTTAAAATGTTAGCGTCACTTCTCAGCCTTGTGGCTAAGATCCAGTGCTTAGCACGGCATTCTGTGATGGAAATGACCCGCTGGGCAACCACCGCTCTCTGTTTCTGAAACCTTTCCTTCACCTTCTCCCACCTTCCCTCGGTAACCTTCACGTGGTACACCTACTCTCCACGTTTAAAGTCAGCCGTTGGGACTTCGCCTCTGTCGTGTGGCTTCCTTCATTCAGTAGGAAGCCTCCATGGTCCGTCCCCTTCACAGCGAGTGTCAGTGCCTCACCCCTCGCTGTGGCTGAACACTG